TTTAGGAAATTGAAGATGGAGGGTGAAATGCTTGGAAGGGTGAAAAACTTTTATAGGATTTGGGTTATGTGGAGTGGTAGCTAGATTCACTTTATGGGATCTTTTTCTTCGTGCACTTCATATTTTCTTCATGCACCCCGTAGTTTTATGAAAATAACCTAACTACCCTTGATTAAAAAACATTAAAATCCCTAATATTTTCCCTTTCTTTCACGACAGCGCTGCATCTCTAGCCTGCACCTCCATTGCGGTAAACAAAAACAAGATCACCACGTTCAATTATGACTGATATTATTACTCTCTTTTCGCCATGTATAAAACTAAAACAAACTGTATACAACACAACTAAGGCTGTACCTAACATATCAAACGTACAAATTTCAGAAAGTGAGTTACTTGCCTCATTAACACTTTCAGAGCTTTAGTTTGGTCCCTGTTTCCATGACCGATAAAGTATACTAAGATCATTTTTAAAAAGCAAAAAAACAAAAGACAATAAAAGTAATTGTCGATTTTTATTACAGATTATACGATCCAAAATATAAATTTACCTCATGAATTACATTTCAAAATTTAGATTTAATACCTATTTTGATATCTTGTTAGGTTTATTCAAAGTTATCCTACCTTTTTTTCAGATATTCACAATTGTTACATAAAAACAATTCAAATTGGTCATTTTTGCTTACGGCGTTAAAAACGCTAACGGTTTAATTGTACATTGACCAAAATTGAATGACTTGTCTAGTTAGTAATTGAGTGACACACTAAGGTCAATTGAATTGGCAATGTATGTGAAATGGGTTAGGGTTCGTGCAAAGCGCCACCACAGGGTCACCATGCCGCCATTAGCGCCACCACAGGTTCATCTTCTCGAGCAATCAAACCTCCATAGCCACCACACCATCAACCTCCATGCGAGAACATCGCGCCATCTTTGTTCCGAATTGCAGAACCACCATCGTCCTTCACTACTCACTTTCAGCAGTCATGACGACCTGCACAAAATCAGAAACGCATCAAACCCTAAATCGTGCCTCGCCTCCACCACAACCATGCTCCTTCAATTGCGACGGTGCCTGCAGAAAAATCTCAAACCAGAATCGTGATTCACTCCTTTGAACCCTAATTGTGAGTTCCTTCTCCCTCGATTCAAAACCTGCATTAGAAATTAGAAAAGCCCATAAACTAAATCGCCTAATTCGAACCTCCACGACCAACATTCGAAAGCCTTAACCTAAATAGCGTCGCAACGGGGAGTTCATATCCTCCACCACCTTCACGCACCGTAAGCAATTCTCCTCCATCTTCATCTTCTCCGCGAACTCGAAGAATCCAGATCGCGTTCTTGCGAATCACCATGGCCAACAAACATCTTCTTCGCAACATCATCTTCTTCATCGTAGAAGAAACACAAAAATCATCTCCATCAATCTCTAGAACTGTAAATAGAGAAGGAACCACAACATAGAAATCCCCTCTAATCACGCCACCACGAGCTCCTTTGTGCAATGGAAGAAGCAGCCGCCGCAGATAGTGGTCGAAAACCCCGGTTCGAGAAGGAGAGAGCGTTTCTCGCACACCCTAATTTGGGTAGGAAGGGGACTGCCATGTGACAGTCCCTCGTTAGCTGAGTTTGCCAAGCAATCAGTAATTGGACAAGTAATTCAATTTTGGCTAAGGGGGCAATTCCACCTCTAACGTTGTTAACGTCGTAAGAAAAAGGACCAAGTTGAACCGATTTTACAAAATATGAGACAACTGTGAACATATGAAAAAAAGATAAGACCACTTTAAACAAACTTAACAAACCGAGGGACGAAAATATAAATTTGCATCATGAATCAAATTAGAGATTGAAATATAAATTTGCATCTTGTATAATTTAGAATACAAACCTACGTATCGAATTGTATAATCCAAAATGTGTAAAAATAATATTTTTTAATTCTTAATTATGTAATTTTCGGATTCCGAAACTATAATTATAGAGGTACAATTAGAATTTAAAAAAATATGGGATGTTGGAAGAAAACATAAGGTGCATGAAGAAATCCCCCATTTATAACGTTGTGATGTTGTATAAACACTCATTTTCTATAATATTTTTGAAAAACAAGAAACAAGTTGGTAGAAATTTATGATATATATTGTTGGGATTATACTTTATCACCTCACTCTTTAGTTGTATTAAGCTTAAAATAAAAAAAGAATCTCTTTTGCATTATCATCAATCCTTACAATGAAAAGTTATACTTCAATTTCTTTGAGCAAACCTAATTACTTCATATTGAATTACAATTTCTTGTTACTTAATAAAATAAACTCGCATTAAGTTCAAAGATTTTAATAAAATCAATAAATCATTCTCTATTCCTAGACAAATGTTTTATATTTATTGTCTTATTTTAGGTCAAGAACTCATAAAAGTTTTCCAATACAACTTCAACTAAGTTATGATTGATCTATGATAAACAAGTAAACATAATAAGCATAAAGATTAAACATCAACGAAGAAGAGTAATAATGTATATAAATTTAATGAAAATATATAAGAGAGTTTGATGATTGCATATAACCCCAACAGAAGAGGATTTAACAACTTATAAAGTTGAATAACATGAAGTATAAACAAAAAGATGAAGGAGAAATAGAAGTGGAAGTCATGGATGGTGTCTCCAGTGGATGACTTCCCTAACCTTCTGTTTCCTCCCTTTCATTTTGTCTTTTGCCCTTCATATATGAGATTTTAAACCTAAAAAAGAGCATTTCACAGCCAGGACTTAGGCTTAGGATGAGATCTAAAATTAGTGTTCTCACACTCTTTGCCAACATATCTCACCAGGTTAGAATTAACTCTCACTTGGTGCTCTAGTTTATGGTTTGACTGAGTAAGGAGAAAACTGGCTAAACGTGAAGTTAATTTTGTGTAAGCAAGGATATAGTTAAATAAAAGATCATGTTGGCTTGGTTTAGCTTTGCTTCTTTCATGTTTCCTTTTTCTCTTAACTTTTTCTTCTTCATTAAATCCTACCAAAAGAGTTTTAAAATGTTAGATGAATGAATAAAAAAATATAGTTATTACATATTTTCCTATTATTGTAAAAACTAAAAAGAAAACTATGAAATGATATTAAAGATAAACAAAAAGTGAATATTATGTTTAATAAATTAACCATAAATAACACTTAACATATATTTAATAAATTAATAAAATAATAAAAAAGAGAAAAATCAAGAAAAGATAGGTGAAAATTAAAATTATTATAAATAATTATTATAATGATATTTTCTATAGGTTTAATACCATTTTTTATCTCTACTTTCGTCTAATTTATTCAATGTGAGATTTGACTTTTTTGAGTGTTTAATGTGATTTCAATTTTCGTAGTTTTTATTCAATTTTGTCATTTTTCCTGACGGCGTCTAAATCGTTAACGACACAATGTTTACGTGAGTAATCACTGAATGATGTATTCATTTTTTACATACATGGTTTGTCCATACTAGGGTTTCAAACTTTCACTTTCCCTTTCTTTCCTCTCACCTTCATATCTCATTTGTCTTCAATTCATGTCTTTTATTTTCGCTTTCTTTCTACAATTTGGGTTTGCTGCTTGAATTTACTAGAACTACATTTAGTTGTTTTGAAAATAGATAATGAATGTGTGCTATGTTTTTTTTTGTTTTTGGTTGTTTGGATGAAATTTTGGTTATGTTTTTTTTATTATGTGGGAAATAGAAGGAAACATGGGAATTGCACATTAGTTTATGATTCTAAGTTGTTTATGAAGTAACGATTAAAGACTTATTTTGGGATTTATTTAAGGAATTACATCTCGATTTTTGATTCGTGAGTGCAAGTGTTTCAACATGGCACGTTGCCAACACTGTGCGGTGGAGGTGTGTGGTGGATGGCGATGGTGGCTAGAGTTTCTGTGTTGGGAAGTTGAAGATAATGATGTGACAACGTGAATATTGGACGAGCCACATATGCTAAAAATGTTCACCTTATTGACTAATTGTCCACGGAGACACTGTGTCGTTAATGATTTAGACGTTATGAGAAAAAAAAGAAGAAAATTGAATAAAAATTATGAAAATTCGAACCAATTAAACATTCGGAAAAAGTCAAGTCCTCGACAAAAATATAGACTTTCTATATTACTTTCACTTTTTTTATGTTCATAGAACAATTATAAAAAGTTTTGTAGAATTGTCATAATAAGTGTCATGTGTAGTTGTGTATATAAATAAATATATGAACAAAAATTGTTTAGATATATAATAACTTTTATCATATAATGATTACCAATTATATAAAATTATGGTTGGTTCACTATTGATAAAAATAAATTAACGTAAAACGAATTATTCATTCACAAAACTTTATCATCATCACGAGTGGGAGTTTCAAAACTAGAAAAAACATTCATTATGATTAAATTATATATTTTTATGAAAAATATAAAACTTGAAAGAAATTTGGGAGGACGAGGAGCTAAAGAGAAAGAAAAAGAAAATAGTAAATAATTAAAGTTTTAGAAGCAAAAGCCAGTATTGATGTTTATTCATGGATGGATGAATTTGAGATGCCCGTAGACAGATCAATCGCCACAGACGCCACCGGGTCCCCCATATTGGAGAGAATCTCCGAAGCCGTGGTTATCATAATAGAAATCGAGATCAAAACAATCAGAATTGTCGATGGATGTCTCTGTATCGTGTTTGTTAGGTTCGATATCTCTGTCATCATCTGTAAATGCCATACCCTTAAAGTAGGCTGCATGTTGAAAGTTCCCATCTGGCAAATTTCCAGATCCCATTTGAGGACTAGGAAGGCCAGCAGGAGTCTTTGTTCTTCCGCCCCACCCCACTCGATCTCCTGAGGCCATGTTCCCGAATATTTCTCCTGGATAATATCCAATATCTCGCCCATCGATATTCAACCACCAATTTTTACTTTGTGGATCCTGAAAATGTATTTACTTTTTGTCAATTACATAACATCATTCTTAACATTTCACACTAAAAGTACTACGTAGTTGATTCCGAACTCGACCACAGTAATCGAAATTGAAATCTCCACTGTCGTTCCTCCGTAGACAGATGTCTTGGACAAGCGTGAACCGAGGAACTCATCTCGATTAGTTTGGACAAAGCCTCGACATTGTTGATTGTAGCATCCTGTATGGTTGAAATTATCCGTCTGCAATATTTATCAATATTAGATAACTACGTAACTAATATATCATTTTTTAAGTTTATTAAGGATCTTTACCAGAAGAAAAACAAGTAAATAAGTCTCTTCTTACTGTCCATATTGAAAAGAGATGAGTTCCAGTGTCACGACCATACAGTTCTGGAGCCACCTTTAACACAAATTAAATGATAAGTATAAATTAAAATACATGTAAAGAGTTTTTTTTTTTATTAAATATATTTTTAGTCTTTAAATTATTTTTAATGATTGTATTTTGTTCCTAAATGAAATAATAAAATATTTAGTTTCTGTATTTTATAAAATTTATGTAAAATATTCTTTTCCCAAATGACAGGAGAACTCTTTTCCATGTGACAAACAAATATTTCATATGGATTTTATAAAATGTGAGAATGAAATATTTTATAATTTAGTTTTGGGACGAAAAGACAATTTATTTTTAATAAAAGTTTGGAAAGAAAAAAATATTTAACTTAAAAATAATTATATAAATCGAAACTTACCTGCCATCCAAATGCGATTTTGTTAGTGCGGTGATCGTTCTCAACCCATATATGAGAAATGCTTACTTGATTTACATTTTTCTTAAGAACTCTTGGATTATAAACACTGCTTATCCCCTTAACTTGATAAAAAGGACCCATTTCTTCTATCACATATAGTTCTGCCATCTACAAAATTAAATTAAAAAATTATGCAAATAATAAAAAAGAATGAGATATGTACAAATAAAATTGCAAAATTTAAAATAAAATAAAAAAACTTACATGAACACCGGGATTATCTTGAACCAAACTTTGATTATAGATATACAATAATGATTTTCCTTGAATGAGATCATCTTTTGTTGTTCTCCTAATGGGAACAGTTTCCATTGGGCATTTTTCTTTTTGAAGTCCAAATATGAGTTTATTTGATGAATTATTCACACTTGTTTTTCTAAATGAATTTTGGAAACTAGGTTTTCTCTGTAAATAAAAAAAACAAGTATTATAACATAAATTATTTAAAGGTTAATCCATTTAAAGATATTAAAAAGACAGAATGTACCTGTAATTTGTGGTTTTTTAATAAAGGATGATCAAAAGCTGGTTGTTTATAAATATCAACGCAATCAACAATATATCCAAATTCTGTCTATAAAATTAAAAATGTAAAATATATAAAAAAAATCAAACTAAAATATAATAGAATAGAAAGAAATAGAAGAAGAATATGTACTTGAATACTCTTGCGTGAGGGTTTGTTAAGAAATTGCAATTGTCTTTCTATCTCCAAATCATCTATGTGAATAGCATTAACTCTATGACTATCATGGCTATTTAACAACCAAAACACAAAGAATAATAACTTGATCATTTCTTATAAAGGATCCTTCTATCTATCAAATAAAATTAGTGTCTGTTGGATCACCTTGCAGAATCGTCTCTTTATACCCATTAGCAGTCATGAAGGAATTAAACTATTGAATGAATTATATGAATCAGCAGTAAAAAAAAATATCAGTTATAAATAGTTATTCAATTTATTACTAAAAATATTATTTTTATTAAGAGAAAGGTGTTATAATTACTTATTATACGTCTACATGAGTTATGTTATTTAAAATACATGAATTATATCAAATTAATTATAATTAATTGTTTAATTGTTATACTTTGAATGTCAAAGTGGAAGGATGAATTGCATAAATGTGTTTTAAATAATTTATTGATTGCAATTTAGATGTTGTTTTGAAATGTATTGTTGCCTAAATTGGGATCATGCAGCAATTGTAGTTAGCTATTATGTTCATGATTACATTCATTAATCTTTATTACAGAGAAATTGTAATTACTTATATTTAATAATTATATATTAATTATAATTTTCTAGACATTGAATTATTTTTCTTGTCTTGATTAATATTCAATAGCCTTTAAAGTTAACGAGTAAACAGATTTAAGAAAGATATTGATGTGATAGTTAAGAGAAACCAGGAGTTGATAAGATGAAACTTGAGTGCTTATAATTCAGAATTTTAAAAAGATTTCTAAAAATAAAAACTCATTTTTCTAACAAAATTCATATAAATGTCAATCATATTATAAGTGCATTTTCATAAAATTAATTATGTAAGACTCTTTAAATTTTACATTATTTTTTAATAAGTAATATTTAACATCTACTAACTATAAAATTCAAAATAATATATATATATAAAATCAATCATACCTAAAATATATCAACAAAAATTAATGGTACTTAATGAAAGGAAAGAATATGTATTTGAATCTTTTTGACATAGAGTTTCATAATGACTTGTAATTGTCTTTCTAATTACAAGTAATTGTTATACATTGGTTATCATTGTGGAAGGATGAATTGCAATTATTGTGTTTTAAATAATTTATTGATTACAATTTAGATGTTGTTTTGAAATTTATTGTTGGCTAAATTAGGATCATGCTGGTATGGTAGTTAACTATTATTTTCAGGATTACATATGTTAATCTTTATTATAGAAAGAATTGTAATTAATTATATTTTAATGATTTTCTAGACATTTGCATTAATTTTTCTTTCTGCTGGGTAATGTTCAAGAGCATTTAAAAAGTAAGTAGAAAGAATAATATCAATTTGAGAAAGATATTCATGTCATCCATAAAAAAAATAAAAGGTTAATAAGATGGAATTTAAGTTTTTATAATTTAGAATTAAAAAAAATATTCTGAAGAAAACACATTTTTTTTTGTAATAAAATTCGTTTACATACATTATATAGTATGAGAGACTATATTGACGATGATGTTGCACACTTCAAAGTGAACAAGAATAATGAATTGGTATGCTATTCTTAAAGAATTCAATGCTGAACTTCTGTCTGTATATTCCTATATTTATTCGCTTACTTGTTCATATGCATGTCATTCGAAAACTTTGCAGATATTTTGGAAGGCTTTAAGTTTAATTCATATTTCAATATTGTTCCTCCTAACGGTCCGATTTTTTGAAAGGATGAATATCTTTAATAATCGAAACTAATAGAACCTCTAATGTTAAATTATATAAATTAGTTTATACATGTATTAAAAATATAATAATAGAAGACAAATATCAATGTTATTTTAAATCAATTGATCAATCTATTAATTAAATAAAATATATCATATATTTTATTTTATATATAATTTTGAAAAACATGTTTGTCCATAATATAATAAGTTGTAATAAAAATTATCATATTTATAGATTTAATTTGATGTATTTTTCAATATGTATAGGAAGATAAAAATAATTCATATTTGTATTATATTATGAAATATTTATAAAATTTAAATTTAAATTATTAAAAAATAATATTTTAAATATCAGAATTTGAGTCAAATATCCATAAATTAAATGATAATTTCATATATTATAAATTTCTTTTTGTAGATTCATTTTATATAACAGTGAAATAAAATAATATATAAAATTAAAATAAATAAAAAGTAATATTTATATTTTAAAATTTATTTTCTAAATTCCTAGAATTTAAAATGTAATATCTTCTACTAATTGTTAATAGTATTTTAATCTTTATTTTTAAAATATTTAATATATAATGATTTTCTAAGAATTCTATTTTAATAAATTGAAATAGCATCTAAGAAAAGTTTATCTTTTAACAATAATAGAAAATTATAGGCATTATTTATTTTTACTAATATTATTCTAATTTGATATTTAATTTTTTAGTTTAATAAAAAAAATTTATCTAACATTGAAAAATTATAATTATTCAAAAACAATAGTTTAAATATTCATTAGTTACTTTTCTTTTAGAAAAAAAAAGTATTTTTAACATTACTTAATCCAAATTTATTTATAACTATAACCAAAATAATCCCGGTTAATTATAAGAATCTAGAAAATAAAGTATGAGAATATATAAGTGTATTAAAATAATGAGATCAAATATTTTATTTTAAAATAAGTTAATAATATAAATAGAAATTCTTAAACTTGTCTCATTACCTAAAACATTGTTTATCTCTTTAAAACACTATTCTCTTAACCTCTCTACCATCTCTCTAAATTTTTTTACTCCTAAGTCATCTATTTGACGATTAGGAGGTGTCAGGCGATCCTTACGACAAGGTCTACTAATCTACCCGATTAATTCACTATTTAGAACAAATAAGTTTTTACTTTTTTTTCTTGGTATCTTCGGTTCATGATCATGCCAAAGCAAAATATGTTTTGCATGTGTCAAGAACTTCTCTTCCTTGATTCTATCTTTAAACACCAATCGGTGATTTGTAAGTGTTATAGAAGTTCTTTGTGGTGAAAGCAACGAATGGTGGTTTTTAGAGCTGTAGGAGTTTTCTAAGGTAACAAAAGCTAGAACCTTTGTTTTAGTTTGTGATTATGTTAGAAGAATTTGTATTTCTATGTATTGTAGTAAACTTTGAGAAATGTTTATGTTTAGTTATATGAAGATTTTATGAAATTGAGGATTTGATCATGTTTTGTTGATATGTTGGAATTGTATGTTTGTGATATGTAAAACCGTATTGAATTATGAGTAATGAAGTTATTCTAATGCTTGGAATTGAATGAAAAGTGATTGATTTATAGAAGGGTCTTTTTGTTTAGGTTTTAAGGTCAAAAATATGGGTTTTAATGGGTGAATTTTATAAGTGAGTGTTGGAGTGATGAAGTAACTGGTTAAGTGTTGTTTTGAGGTCATTTTAGACTTGTAAGCATTAAATTGAAAGAAATCTGGTATGAAATATGTAAGGGTGTCATTGTTGAATTTAGAGGTATATTTAGTGTAAAAATGAGGTTTTGACTAGTGAGAATTTGAGGTAGGCAGTGAGGACTGTGTTTGACAGTCGAGAGTGTGTTAGGAGACTTATTAGGACTTGTCTAAGCTGTCAAACGAGAAAAGTTTAGCGTAAAATGGTTAGTGTTGTTTATAGGATGAGTTTGTAGATGTTTTTGGCGAAATTGGAGGTTTTTCATGTTGAGATTTTGAATTTTTAGTTATGTGTATAAATGATCATTTTAGAGGGTGTTGATAAGTCATTTGTGATTTGTTGGAGTCATTAAGTTGTTTAAAAATAAGCTATAACTTGTGAAATTCAATTTGGGTCTCTAAAGTGAGGTTTTGATTAATCTTAGAATGGAATCTTGTGATCAACTAGTTTTAAAACGAGTTTAGGTTGGTTTAGATATGTTTGGTTAGGTCAATTCTAGTTTAGAATACAATCTAAGAGTGTTAGAAGTTGGGAAAGATGCATAGGATAGGTCACGAGGGGTTGAAGGGTGCAAACTCTGTAGATTTGATGATGCAAAATTATGTAGTCTCACTAAGCGAATGTAGCCGCTGAGCGAGCAAAACCCACTATTTCTATATTCGCATATCGAGCTTGGGCGCTGAGCGACCAATCCAGAACATGTTTTCTTTCTTTCTTTGTTTTCTAGTAACTTTGAACTATGATAATACTTTGATGATGGAGTAGAAGTATCTGTTGTATTATATGATGGTTTATTCTTGAGGTTATATGTATGCGTTTGAAGTATGGTTGATGGACGTAATTTCATGACTCGTGGAGAGGTTACATGGTCGTGCCTGTTGTTGTTGTTGTTGTATGAATGTATGGAGCTTTGGACTGGTGGTCTATTCCGAACTCTAATGATCATCTATTCTCAATTAGAGAGGGGTAAGTCATGTGGTGAGAGTAATGGGAGGTTCTTGTCTACAGGATTTGATCATGGTCCTAGGCAACTGAAATGGACTAATCTTGTATGGTAGCTTGGTTTAAGCGAACTGTATTACCATTAGAAGTGCAAAGACCACCAATAGTTCGACATTCATAGCTAATCCGAATGAGTCTTGTCTAGGTTATGACATGTATAGGATGAACAAATTGTTATGGTTTATTTTTTTTGACTAATGTATGAATTTGTAATATAATATATATGAATTGTCTTGTTTATCTACCTTAACCTTTTTGTTTATGCTTTGTTATATGTTCTTGTACTACTTTCTTGGATATGATCATTTGGTGGGTGTGAGCAGAGGACGACGAGTCATGGAGTAAGCCCTAGAGGAAGAACCAACAGATACTTAGTTCCTTAGTTGTTTGAATTATATAGTTTTGAATTAGATGTTAAATTGTATATAAAATTTTATTATAGTTATCATGATGACTGTATTAACTTTATATTTTTTATCTGTCAATTGTTCTTGTTTTATTGATTTTGTGATAACTCTATTACAGTATTTATACTATATTTGGAACATTACACTAATTATTATCAAAACTATAACTATAATCCACTGAAGTAGTTAACTTAACACATAACATTTAATGAGTTTTACATCAAAT